AACAAGTGACACTAGAATAGGCTTCTGCTGTCAAGCTTGTCACCCATGTGGTCATCACTCAGTAGAGCTGACGAGCCAGCAAAATTAAGAGCTTCTTTATGGAGCACAGTTGTGACAGAACAAGATATAAAAACTAATCTGAGATGGAGTAGATTCATCTTGGAGAGTTGGAAATGGCTGCAACAAAGGCTAACCTTCACGGAGCCCCCCCCCCCCCCCCCCCCTAGAAGGTTCTGTTGAGCACTCGTAAACAGGGGCCATGCAGAATTAAGGTAAGTCGGAGTACAAGGAAACTAAACACATATGTGAATCACATATGTGAGATGGCGGCTATATAAATTTAATAAATAAATCAAATAAACACTACTTCATTTGCAAAAAGATGTGCAAAAGGGGACAAAAGGAATAACTTGAAATTTGAACTTGTGATAGGAGAATGACCTCAGGATAAAAGTAGAAGTCTCTAGCAAACTCTGATAATAATCACAGACCTGGGATGATACCCAATCAGGAGTTTTCGAACTGCTGCTGAAGTTAGACTATAAAAGGCTCAAAACATGTTTTCCCTTGTTTGTAAATTCTCATTGTGCCTCATGCTTCTGCTTCCTTGCTCTAAAATCCCATTCATAATTCAGATTGTGATAAACAATGAGTTTTTGTGACAATAGTGCACCTGCACAGCTCATGGTCGTCAGATCCTGCATCCAGAGCTATGAGCTACCCTTAGCCCATGTGAAGAAATCTATTCCTTAACCAAGAGGCACCATATTCATTATTAATATGCAGTCCTTAATAAATTATCCTAAGGGAATATGGTCCTTGTCAGAAAAATGTTTGCTTCTCATTTCGATTTTAACTCTTCATTTACAAATTGTACAAACATAATCAGCTGAAATATATAGAACATTTCCATCATTGGGCTACTGTGATCACACAGGAATATCACTTACCTTTTGTGTTTGGATCTGTGGTACCTTTTGTTACAGCTCAAACTCAGCAATTAGGTTTCCTTATGAAATATGGGGAAGCTTTGGGGGTATTTCATGATAATTTGTATTGGTTGTACACAATAAAGTAAACCAACTTTACCACATTTGGTTTTGGTTTATGGTCCCCCCTGGTTTTCCTCCTCCACTATAATTCCCAAATGGCACTGAAATTTTGCAAAACACAAAAACTGTGAATCAGGTTAGTATTCTTGAAAAAAGGTAAATTATATTTTTGGAGCATTCAGTGATGACAGTGTATAATCCAATTACAATTAGAGTCAAGGAAACTTTACATATCACTAAAGGATTCAACAATTGGATCTTTAAGTTAGAAAAGATAAATAAAAGGAATGACCTCCCCATAAAGCTGTTATCGAATAGAAAATTCAAGGTCTTGAGTTTCACTCAATACTTATAGCAGGGTATAATGAGCGATTGTCCCAACACATTACCCATCAAGATCTCTTCACCAAAGGTTTATGATCATAGCTACCACTACCACAAGAACACTTGGATTGTATCCAACCCTATTGCTAGATTAATAGTTATGCCTATGTGTAATTTTAAAACAGTTTAGTTCCAGTTAGAAACCATTTTTGTAGTAGTGATCAGCAATTTAATTTCATCAACAAGATGTTATAATCACTAATCTGTCTTCTAACTTTGGGTTCTTACTGAGAAAGAGAGATGCTAAAGGCAGGAATATTTAATTCCTGTCTCCCAGCGTCTGGCACTTGAATATATAGTGGATAAGTACTGCAAAAAGAAGTTGTTTCAATTCATAGTATCCCAATATTCTGGAATCAAATTGCAGGCTCCAGTGGAGATTATGGCTAGCCTTTTCTAGTCTCAGAAGCTAAATAGGATTGGTCCTGGTTACTATTTGGATGAAAATCTACCAAAGAATACCAAAGCTATAAGGCTGGACTAGAAGTCTTTTTAAAAATCTCAAAAGAAGATAATGATGGATTGTTTCTATACTGTTGCCAAGAAAACTGCATGGATACAGCGGTACCTCGGGATATGAACGCCTCTACTAACGAACTTTTCGGGTTACGACCAGCTCCAGCCGCAAAAATTTACCTCGATGTGCGAACTCCACCTTGGGGTATGGTCATTTTTCCGCCCTGACACATGGTCTGTGGCCATTTTTCCGCCCCTGACACGTGGTCCGCGGCCATTTTTCTGCCCCTGGCACGTGGTCTGTGGCTGTTTTCCCGCCGCACAGCGCGGCGCCCGGCCATTTTCCCACCCCTGACACATGGTCCGCGGACGCCAGAACGGATTAACGGTAATTACATTGAACCTTATG